CTGTCAGAATATGTTTCACTGTCAGAAGTCTTCCGCTGCTGCAGATGGGTTGTTCTTCGTTTCTTCGCATGTATGAAGTAGTTATTCTTGCATGGCCTATTCTTAGTCTGGTTATGCCCACTTACTGATTTCTGATGTAACCATTTACTGATGTTCTGTTTACTGGGGTGTAGTTTCGTGTGAAGACTGTTCCACGTGGTCTACCTTTCTGTGAGGAAGCATTTCGAGGCAGCGTTTCTTGCATCTTGATGTATTTCAATATCCATTTCTGATTGGCTGTTTACGGCATTTCTTGCTGCAGAATCGGCTTCTTTATTGCCTGCGATATCCTCGTCTTCAGGGCACCAGATGAACGTAACTGATGCTCCTCGCTACTCTAATTTACGGCATGATATGATAATCATTTGTAGTTGTAGGTGTACAGCTTGGCGTCTGTCTATTGCAGAGAAAAGACTTAGCGAGTCTGTGCAGATGACGAATTTACTTGAAATGATATTTTCTATACTGCATACAATTTGGCAGTGTACACACTTCCAGTATACACTCTGGTGGAAGTGTCAACGTTTTTTATATGTCTCCAGTTACAAATGCGCTTCCTACCCAATGTTGTGTTTTTGAACCATCTGTGAAGATTATTGTGTGACTTGCCTTGTATTCTTCGAGAACTGATCGAAATCTAACTTTTAAATCTATGGTAAGGATTTTTTTTTCTTTACACTAGTAGTATCGAGTCTATCTTATTACATTTTCGATATCCAAGCTGGAATTTCATATGGTTTATGTTTCAAAACTGGTGGTAGGCGATGTTATAGCATTTGGTTATCTCGATTGCGCAAATGTTGGCTGGACGAGAATAGCTGAAGGTCTTCGATCGTAAATCTTTGCCAAATTGGATCGAGTCATCAGTGAATGCTTTAAATGTTGTGAGTGACAGTATTTTTATCTATAGTTGAGTAGTATCCTTTGTCGTCTTCGATGTAGCGACATGGTACTGGTATCACAGTGGTGGGTTGAGGAAGGCTAGTGTGCAACGCTCCAAATGCATAACGGACGCCTGCATTGTGACAAGGATCTAATTTCCTTAAGCTTGATTTTCTGGCTGAGGCATTCACTGCACATCCGTAATCTATTTTGGACCAAGGATTTGTTCAGGCAGAGTAAGATGTCTCTATCTTCTCCCTAATTTATATGGGAAATGCATCAGATTAGTTCAGAGCAGTTCTGCATTTAGACAAGGTATATTCTAGATGCTTTTTCCAGGTTAAATGTCTGTCAAAAATCAAACCAAGGAATTTTGCCGTTTCATTGTACGCCAATTGAACATCATTTAACGCCAGATACGGATCTCTGTAGCTTTTTCGTTTCCTACAGAAGTGAACGCATTTGGTTTTGGTTGCTGTAAATGCGAAACCAATGTTTTTGCGTTCTGTACTAATTTATTGATGGCATTTTGCATTTTGAATTTGATCATTGCCGGTGATTTGGCTGAATACAATACTGCAGTGTCATCTACATACATGCATTTTCCAATTGAGGCTTCTATGCCGTCAAACATCTCATTGATCGCTATGATAACGACCGTATTACTCAATGGAGAGCTTTGCGGTACACCATTCTCTGGTACGTAACTTTCAGAGATGGACTGCCCAATACTCTCTGCTGCCCAAAGCGAACTTGGAAAGATCTGTTGCTAAGGAAGCTGGATATGAATTTTGATAGATTTCCTCTTATTTGCCACTTATATAGCTGTCTCAGAAAGTTATATCGCCAGGTCTTATCAAAAGCTTTTTTCAGGTCAAAGAATACGGTAACCATATGTTTTATTTTGATGAAGGTATTCTGAATTGCGTTTTCCAGATATCTTAGCTAGTCGATTGTAGAGTGAATTTGTCTGTATCCGCATTGATGTATTTTCAGAAGGTTGTTTATTTCGAGACACCATGTTAGCCGGGTGTTGACAATTTGTTCCAAGATTTTTCGTAGACATCACGTCAACGATACCGGGCGATAATTATCAGGTTTCAATGGATCCTTGCCAGTCTTTAAACGTGGAATTATTATCGCTTCTTTCCAGACTTTGGCGTAATTACTTTGTGTCCAAATGTTATTATATGTATTTGACAACGTGGACAGCATTTCCTTCGGGAACCGACGTGGTATGCTGTAAGGGATGTTATCTGATATGCTGCGGTGTCTCCAACTGCATTTATGGATTCTTGCCATGTGAAAAGAGCATTATATGGCTTATCTGTAACGGTTGTAAAGTCTAGAGCTTGTTCTTCTTTCTTTCTTTTTTATCGAGAAAGTCTTTAGGGTAGCTGATTGTGTTCCTGGCTTTGGAGTATTGGATCGCTAAGGCGTTGGCTATTTCGTCAGGTTTGCAGATTAGTTATCCTTCGTGTTCTATGCATGTGAAAGGACTGAAAACATTTGCCCCAGCTATTGGCTGAATTTTCTACCATATTTCTGTGACTTTGGTCGTCCGTGTTATGGTTGTTACGTACTTTTCCCAGCTTGATCGTTTTGCTAAAAGCAAAAAGTTTGAAAGCAATAAGTTTATCTTGGATTGGTATACGCCTATATCTATTGATGGCTCTTCTTTTCTCCCTTGTTGTTTATTTGTCTCTGTATTCCACCATGGTACTGGAATCCTAAATGAGCGGCCACAAGTCTGTAGAATGTATTTTACAGCAGAAGATATCACAGTGTTGGTGAATCTGTAACGTCTTTCTCTGTGTTTCCACTGACATTATTGGTGATATATGTCTGGTGAAGCTGGTCCAGTCTGCATGGTTGGTACACCAACGTTTCGGTAAACGTACTGCGTTCTTTGGTAAGTTTGATTTAGATTCGTTCAGTAAAAGAACAAAAATGTAAAAACTGTATGCGACGTAGGGGGGAAAGGTAATTGGCGCACATTTTCTTGAGTTCCAGAATCCCTTCCCGTCATTTTAATTATAAATAGTTTAAGAATGTGTAAACGTTTAACATAAATAAATAAATAAAAATACATTTTAAAAATCGCAAGAATAGCAATATTTGAAAAATTTGATGATATCGACAGGAAACTGATCACTTTGATGGAGATCTGGCAGTGGTTACCACGTCAACTGTGCTGCAAGATTTGGACTACATATTGAGAGATATTGGGCCGAGCCATTTCTAGCGTTAAAATAAGTTCTAGCTCCTGTGTTTAAAAGTACGAATTCATTGATAATAGCAGGTCATCGATTCTGCGACCGGAGTCAATTGTTCTAAAACAGCCCCATGTGGTACTGTGAGAATTGAAGTCGCCTAGAAAGATTTTGTTTTAAATTGAAATGATAAAAATGTAATTTAAACCAAGAGCTTTGGTTTGAACGAAGCGCAAAGTAAAGAGATGGTGGAACGCAGAATTCAAACACATGGTCTTCTTTAAAATTAATAATAAAATAATAACTACATTAACAATAAAGGCAAACGACAAAAAATGAAAAATAAAATAACAATAAAAACGCAGGAATATGCATATTTAAAAAAATGGAAAGTATCCATTTGTTTTAATTCTAGCCTTTAGAATGGATTCCATCAAGAACCGAAAGCAAAATATTCAAATACCGATTCCAAAGGAATCGATTCCGGAAATGAATCGGCAGAATCTGAACGTCACTACATTAGAATTTATGTAATCACGCAATTGAAGTAAATCAGCTGTTCTCGGTTTCATCCAATCGGGAGCTTGAACGTCCCCACAGTGACGTCACTGTAGCGACATGATATAAACTCCCGATTGGAAGAAACCATAACAGCTGATATGTGTCATGTTCACGACTAAATTCGTAAAATACTCTCTGCTAAATACATCGTGCTATACTAAAGGACCAAATGGTTGTTGACCAGAGTTGTTCCCTTGCTCAAACAAGATAAGTGATTTTTTTTTAAATACATCGGTGTACCAGGTTAACATTACAACCTACCTGGTTGTCTTCCGTGTTTCACAAGACCGAGTTATTGATAAGCGAGAATGGGTTCCACGGTTCGTTTTTTCTTGTTGGATCATTTGTCGACATTTCGACGTATATATTTAAATCGTACGTTTGTCTCTTCAGTAACAACAAAGTGTAAGCAATCTCAGTAAAAATAATATTGAAATATATAATTAATCAAGAGGAACATGATCAATACAGGCGCCAATGACTGAAAGTTGATGAGCTTTAAACCCTGATCATAATAAAAACATAATTCTATTATATTATACTTTTGCCATTGACAGGATTATGTGACTACATTTTTTCTTCTGGTTTTAGCTGGGGCCCGATATCTGAGTACTGAACAGAAAGACATAGAGTCAGGCTGTTCAAAAACAGAGCGCTTGGCCAGGAAACTCAGAGAAAAAACTCCTATCGGTTAGATATTTTATTTAGTATTGTTCGGAGTTTCACCCTTTTGTTCATGACTTTGTTTCCTTAACATTAAAATTTTATTGACTCTTTATTTTTGCTTTTGACAAGGTAAACTAGACGAGTTGGAGGAGGGAAAACACCCGTATCAAGAGAAAGAGCCATTAAAAGCATGGCCAGATAACACAAATCCAAATACTGGTGAAATAGGAGGTCCTAGGGGACCTGAACCCACTCGCTATGGTGATTGGGAAAGGAAAGGAAGAGTGTCAGATTTCTAGTATAATTACTTAGTCCTTCAATAATGAGATCTCAATTATATTGTAATTTCAACCATCTTTTAAAGATTGTTTTCTCCTTAGATATTTATTAAATGATTGTTAGTTATGGTGTAACAAAATAAAACAAGTCATATAGTATTGGTTATGTTACAATACAAAATACTTAACATTTTTTTTACATACTTGCTATGACATTAGCCCTGGAAATTTTTTCAGGTTAAGTTCAATTATGTGTCCAAGTTTATATAGAGGAAACAGCATGACTTTTGACAGTTATCTGAAGTTTATTTGAAAATAAATTGAACAGAATTTTATTGCTTATTACTTTTGACTGTATGTGTACAAACGTGAAAATGAACTGACTTGAAAAACATCTTTGATATTTCTTAAGTAATGGTTTACCTGAAAGTCAATCAACAGTTAAGTTCTTTTCCTGGAAGGAAAATAAATGTTTAATATGTATCAAGTACGAAACAGTTATCGAGTTTGATCAACATTCCTTAAAATATTTTGACATCTTATTGCATTACGGCAGCCCTTCTTTCAATAGGACTATTTATTATTATTTGCAAGTAAAGTTAAGAGATTTAATTTCATTGATATCCATTTGATAAATTTGGAAAATAAAGATCATTAATGTTCTCCCTTGTATGATCATTAATCCCTCCCTCTCACTGAAAATGTTCCTGATTGAAGTAATAAAACATATTTTGATATCACTTGTTCTTTATTTAATTAATGCGATAGTAAATGCTTTTAGAATTGAGGTTTTTCTGTTTAATCACAAAGAAATTGAAATAGTGGGGCATATATAATTAAAATGTCCGAAAACATGCTTTTAAATGCATATTTAACAGAGAGCAAAAAGGAGTGCCAGTGAGTCCAAAACCTATTAATTGCAGATGATTAAATTAAGAATTTTGCTTTTATAATTGTTCTGTAGTGTTGATATTAGACTTTTGTACTCTTGCCCTGAAAGGAGTATTGTTTTATTGAGCACAATTAAATATATCGTATTTACGGGTTAAAATTGACAACTTTTTTCTTTTGCAATGTTTGGACTGGCTTCACCATTTCATATTATAAATGTATTTGGTCACATAGTTTTCAAGGACAAACAGTTTATAAAAACAAAATGTTTCAAAAGTTTATTGTTCGTCACTTGCTGAGTGACATTTTGGGGATTATGTTTTTTGCAATCTTCAGGCTAAAATACAATGAAGAAAATTATTAATGTTATAAAAGAATATAAATAAGAAATTACAGAGATTATTGAATTAATATCAAAGAAAAAATAATTATTATTACTATACAGAAACATAATACACAATGTAAACTAACATAAAGACACCTCATTATAAACATCAATAAATCATACCAAATTATGATAAAATTTAAACAAATATGTGCAAGGTGTGCGGATGCACATCCAGTATGGCAGTCATAATAGCATTTGAACTGAATTTAAAACTGCATAATAGCATTTAAACTGAATTTAACTAATACACTCTCTGTTTAAAACAATCAGCAGAGACTGTTTGTGAGTTGGAGAAAAAGGGAGGGGGGGTAACTTGAAAATATTGTTATATAAAACAATATAAATGGACAAAACATTCATACATTCCCAAAATGCATTTGATGAAATTTGTATATATAAAGGACAATGTCACTTAATTTAAAAGACAGGAACGATATGGCAGACCATATTCTGGTTTTGTTTGTTTATACTATACCATTTCAGTTTCTGCAAATTGGCCTTTTATCTTTCCATTGGTCTGTTCTCTTTCTCTCTGTGGATGGTATTTGAGCAAGTTGTATTTAACACTATATAGGAGGGTATGTGTGTCAGTGAATAACAACTTTTTGGAGAGCCCATTGTTTTTCTTTATTCATTAATTTTTATATCTGAATTAACTTATTATTGGGATTTGATTACAGCATCTGAAATTTGGTTCTGATTACTGTATTCCTTTGCTTGTACAGGTTTCTGAAAATAATGATTGAAATAAATTGATTTGTTAAGTTTAAATATGTTACATTATGTGTTTATAACTTTGGTTAGTGACTATTTTTGTATGTAATTACACTACATTCCATATAAAACATTTTTATTACAACAATGTGTTTGAGGAATACACACACTAATACAGTTATTTTGAAGACATATATTGCATGGATTTGTTTTTAAGCATACTCAATAAGTGGGGCAGTGAAATATATTGAGCTTTTGTTGAATTGATTCATTAAGTAACAATGAATCAATTTAATTCAGGTTACTTGCACATTTTTTTTTATTATTTCTAATTTTTGTACATTAACAGACAAATTGTCCATATATTGCGATAAATAAACATTAAAATAATTAGCGATAATAAATATTTGAAATATGTGACTTGAATATTGAAATTTCACCATTAAAATTTGACTTTTACGCGACCTGTTGGCGCCCGCAGAGTTAGAACACCATCTAAATTTGGAGGAAGGCATGGGAAGGAGATACACGGAACGAAATCCTCGTGGCCCAAGTTATTTTATGGGCTGTTGCGGCCTAAGAAGAAAAGACCAAAAGTAGAATTCAGCACAGGAAACTGCCGTTTTATAAAATATGATAAAAAGTGCAATATTTATTACAATTAATGCATTGAAAAATTAATAGTTAAAGTATATTAAGTTCTGATTAACAGTGTTGAAAGTTCCTCCACTCCGTGAAAAATTACGAATATGTTTGTAACTATACATGAACATTCTGGATTTTTTCCAAACGATTGTGAAAGTTTAATATAGGTAATATTTCTCTCCATGGCAATTAAAATAAATATTTACAAAACCGACAGTTTATAAAAATATATGGAACTATATTCCACATATACAAAAAATAAAATAAAAAAGTACGCTAATTGCACAGACTCGAAATCCTTTGGGTCTTTTCATAACCAATGAAAAGGGCACGTGGAACCAAATGTTTCATACATTTCATTTATTATAAAGCAACACTTTAGTATTATCGCTAAGGCCCTGATATTATTTACTTCGAGCCGTTTTCAAAAAGGAAAGTTAGGGACTTGATGTGTGTTGATAAAATAATGCTTTTTTAAATTAAATTTGACGACGAAACTGGCAGCCGAACGTAAATAAATCGAAAGCAAATATCATTGTTGATAACAAATGTGATAAGACACACGCACCTCGACAACCAAACGAACCTCTTTGAATCAAATAATACAGCCCAAAACTTATTCTGTTAATTCTCTAGGAATCGCCTATGCGCACAGCAGAGGTTGGCACTCAACACTGCTCAACGCTATCCCGCCAAACGTTGTGACGTTATTTTGGACTTTTCTTATATAATCGCGCGTGAACGAATCTTATCACAAACTGTATTGCAGGCAAAAACGTTTTCGAACAAATATAGGGAAAGGAAAACCTATTACAAAGAATGATCTCCACGCACTCGCGGCATTGAGGTAATATACTCTCTGCTCGCGGAATTGAGGTACTATATAACACTCCTTGACCCAGGATCTCCCACTCACAGAACACGTGTTCTATGTGTAGCGCGCTTATTTTAAAACATACAAAGGGGTCAAATTCCGTAACGCTAAAAAGCGGGGAGGCATTTGGGGCAGTTTTGCTGCGTTACATAGGGGTTATTCAGTGTTACGTAATGCTGATATTTCTAAAAAAAATTTAACATTTACTGAAATAATTTATTGCATTCAGCCTTACACTAAACTATTAAAATAATGGTAAATTGAATTAAAAATATATAAATAAATTAGTTATGAAAAAATAGTGTAAAAATACAATTATTCATCAATTGTATATTCATTCAACAAATTTTCATCAATTGTATATTCATTCAACAAATTTTCATCAATTGTGTATTCATTCAATCTGTTAGATTATGAAAAAAATATTTAAAACCAATCTATAATAATTATATTCTACAATCCAATTAAATTTGCACAGTAGATTTGTAGCCCATATGTCATCCACAAAGGCATGTGTGCATGGCTTGTTGTCAGATAGTTTTTCTCGTGCACAACCTTGATTAATCATTTTTTAAAATTGACCCCAATTTTATTGTCGGGTGCAGTTTGCATCACCAACTACAGTAATTCTGACTTCTATCATCATAAATTTTAATATATGATACAAAATTAATACAACTCATTATAATTTATTTTTAACTATTGAAGGGGGAAGTGCAAGCATTACATAATTATTTAGAGAGTTCATGCGTGTTACAGGGGAGAGAGGAATTACTCAAAATACTCCAAATTTACATTATAATACATGAAACGTCAGAAACGATTGCTTGATAGTGATAGTAAACATTTGTATACATAATCAAATGGTTTCAGTTGACAGATGCAATCTTTTAAGAATAAAATCAGAAATGTTATCTATTCCTGCTGAAGACTTGTTTGCTCATTGATTACTTGAAGAATCTCATCTGGTGTAGTGTCTTATAAGAACCTGCTAGAAGATACAGATTTTAAGTTGGATGTTGTTGCAAGTTGGAATAATATCCCTTGTGCTTGACTTCAAGATTCTTTGCAATATTAAAAAAAAATATTGTTGAAGATGTTGGCATATTTCTTAGATGTTACTGTTTGTTTATTATTGTTTATTTCGAAGTTTTTATCTCTAGTTTTCTGTACTGTTTTTGTTTGCTTACTAGCGTTTCACATGGCTTTCATTTTGTTGTTTGATTTAACAATGAATTAAGCTGTTGTAAGTTTCTTTGCAAGGTTTATTACTTTTTTGAGAATGGTTTGAAATTTTTATAGAGTTTATTTGTGAGAGTGCAGTCCTTTCTGGGAATTGTTTAACAAGAACACGTTGATTTTTCTATCTATCTATATAGGTTTTTTTTTACTGCCTTGGCCATTTTCCGCATCCCAATTTCCAATCCCATCTTTATCCCATGTATCGTTTTCCTCCATTTCTCTTGTTTCCATGGCTTCAGTTATTGCCATGTTCCTTATTCTTCTGGGTCTTCTCCTGTATCTTCTTCGATTTGATATCCACTCCCAAACTTTTTGTGGAAGTCTATCCGATTTCAAGCTTCTCATATGTCCATACCACTTTAGTTGTTTCATTTCAATTCTCTCATTCAAGGTTGTTTGCACTTTCATTTTAGTTCTTATTTTGTCTAACAGAGAAAGTTTACATCTTTGCCAGAACAACATTTCTGTTGATTGAAGTGTGTCTTTCAAATTTTTTGTTAGTGTCCAACTTCTATCCCATAGAGTGTGGTACTCTGTATGATGGAGCTCTATGTGCATGGCTAATTGTTCTTTAGCACTGGATTCAACTGTCTTATGGCTATTTTTCTTCTTATATTTTTATTTTACACATCCTGTTTGTCTCTACCATTTGCTGTTAGTGTGACTCCCAAATATTTATATTGTGTATTACCTTTAATTATTCCTATACCAGTCTCCAAATCATGGGGCATACCTCCCACTACCATATATTCAGTCTTTTGTACTTTTATTTCCAAATTTTCTAACATATAAGTTCATCATCTTCAATCATCAGCCATTATCATGGTCGTCTGCAAATTTAGTAGACTAAATAATTTTCATCACCTTTTTTTACACCCGTGTTTCTGCCTTTTCTTTTTTTAATTCTTTTAAGGCTTATCAATGTATATCTTAAACAGGGTTGGAGATATACAGCAGCCTTGCCGCAATCCTTTATTTGTTGTCCGATAGACATTTTCCCACTTTTACATGACTTTTGTTATCTTTATATAGTTGTTTGACTGCATTTATGTATGTTGTTGATATTCCTTTTTCTTCCATTGCCCCCCACCCTTCTTACTGGTACATTATCATAAGCCTTTTTGATGATTTCTCTCACCAGAAATTTACCCATTCCTTTTTTTACCCATTGGATCTATGATATTAATTTTCTTTCTTTCACTGAAGTAGGAAGGATTCATTAAAGTGTAATGTTAATATATTTGAAAAACTGTGAAGGTAGTATCCACTTTTGTCTTAGTCATGACTTCAGAACATATTTCTTCTGAGAGATGATATATGAACCTATTTGTTTTTAAAGCTAGTATTTCTTCATGTACAATGTATTTCAGTTTCCTTTGGAAGCATTGTGGGGAATTAATTGGAGAAATTGTGCCTTAGTAAGATCTGTTTCATAAACAGCTATTTTATATATGTTTGGATTCATCTAGAATTTTTTGCTGTATGACTGTTTTTGACATGTGAGTTTTTCTAGTAGGTATAATTGCTTTTTATTTCAAGGCTATACAAGTTAAGAATGGTCGTGAAAGCTTCCTGATGGGCAATATAGATATGCAATAAAGGAATGCAGTAAAGGTATGTTCCATGGCTAATTTGTTATTTAGATGGCCAGTAGTTATAACAAAATCTATGGGTACGTATTTTTATACATGCTCCATCATTTGCACTGGATTAAAGTTTAGAGTTGTCCTACATGAGCTCTCCATGAGATGGAAGCTTGATATATCTGTGAGTGAGATTTGTTCCACGAAGCCAGTGATCACTGGTAAAGTAGATAACTGATGGAAGTTTAAGGTGGGTGCCTAATAGGTTCTTGATCTCATATTTTATTTTTTAGGGACTACATATTGATAAAATATTGTAATAGCTTCATGATTTTGTTTCTTATTTTGTTTTGTGTACCTTAATTGTGAAATATCATAGAGCATCTACCTCCCACATGTTCACCTGAGGTCATAAGATGAAACAATGTGTAGCAATTGTGGTGGTGGTGGTGGTGGTAGTAGTAGTGTGGAAACCACAAAGTATGGTAAACAATGTATGGCTAAGTAAGAAGGGGGGGGGGCAGTCAAGTGTATGAAATTATTTAGGAAGGGTGGAGAGGGTCACTCTCATGTTACTGGTGTATTACAGGGGGAAGTGGGTACCCAAGATACTCCAACCATGCATTGCATAATTGACGGGCAAACCCCTAGTGTATGCTCATGGACTCTAAGTTACATGCCACAGCGAAGTGAGGCATGCTATTCCCACCAATAGGATACATAGACATCACTATCAGACACTTAACGACACCTGTACTACCTGTCCACTGTACTATCAAGTTCCTCACCACTGGCCCTATAGAATTTTCTATAGGACTGTAAGTGAGGGTGTTTTCTACATCATTTCAGCTCTTTGTCTACTTTCAAGAGCTACATGGGAATGTTAAAAATTTTCTGTGAATAGTGATATGTAAATGCAGTGAAGGGGATTCTATAGGATAGTGGGGGTTCATCTGTCAAGGATGAATGAAGGAAATATTGTAGGAGAGGCCATTAAAAATGAAGGTTACACATTTAAAAAAATATTTTATTTATGGTAATAACTATTTTTATGGTATACATTACTCTCAATTTGCATATTTTTATTTAGAAACAGTTTGAAAATAAAAAAATATAATTTATATTTCAATTAATCATTCAATTATTGTTCTAGTTTTTCTGCTGAAAATTGTTTAAATGTTAGCTTGATGTCAGCATTTAAAATATTAAATGTGAATTACTTAAAATAAATTCACCAATAATTATTATTTTGAAGCATATTTATAATTATTTATTGTATAAATAATATAGTAAATATTTAAGGGAGGCCATCAGGGTCATTTAACTTTTTCTCTAGTCTCATAATCGTAAGGCTGCTGAATACTGCCAATTGCCCTAAAAAAACTTATTATTTAAACTATTTCTGATGTTTTCTGTTTCATTCGTAAGAACAAAGGTTCACAGGCCATAAACTGCTGTAGCTGGCTACATGCCATTAGACTAATTTATTTCATTGCTTCAATTGAAAAAGCAAAACTTATTTTTTTTCTTGTGAAATGTTGAACGTTTTTACTGAATTTCGTTTTTAATGACTTACATTCTCGTGGTATGCTCTCAGATACAAAAGTAAGGCCAATTTTAGTAAAGTTTTATTTAAAAAATTAGGCTTCATTGTTTATCAGTACGTTGAAACTTACTTTAGGTGTGGACAATTTTTAATTTCTCCCAAAAATCAGTACCGGAATGGCATTTTGGTATCAATGCCCACTGCCTATTTCATGAACATTTTTATTGGAATAATTCATTTTATAATACTGTATCAACTGTGTACCACATTTTTATGGGAGCCTGTCATAAATTGTCAGTGAGACCCTACCCTTGTTGAAGTCACTGTCTTCACTCACTAAAAAAGCAGCTTTTAACATTTATATAAATCAGTGCTCTGCCATGATGCCAATATGAATGAAACTGTTAATGAGGGCGTTTTCTACTTCGTTTTAGCTCTTTGTTTACTTTCAAGAGCTACATGGGGATGTTAAAAAAAACATTCATTTTCTGTGAATAGTGATATGTGAATGCAGTGAAGGGCAGAAACTCTGTACTACAAAATCTGGGGTGTTGGAGGATCACCTTGCTTAATACTTTTAATCAAAAATCTAAAACACACTCTCCCTCCGTACAGATTCTTAATCAGTAAAACTTTTTTCTGTTCTTTTCTTTGATAACTCCGTAATTGTATTTTAATAAAAAACTGCAACCACTTTTAAGGTCATTGAACTTATTTTCTAAATAATGTTTTTCACTTTATACAGAATTCCCACAAACGTTCCTCTTGCAGACATTCCTTTAATGTTATAACATCATGTTCTTGTCAAGAAATTGCAGAAAAAAACGTTCAAACACCGTAATGTCTGTGCAGCTCTTTTCTTAACAAGAGAGGCCTAACAGAAACTAGATACTCCAAAATAAAAAACAACAAACAAATGGTATATTATGACAATTTAGTTTTAATTAAAATATATAAAAAAAAAAAAAATTGAAGAGCAGAAATAATTTAAAGCTAGTATTCTCTGAGATCTCTTCACAAGTTCACTTGATAATTACAATTGTGACTTCAGGTTTGAAATCAGGAAAGGGAAATTAAAATTCAGAATAATTTTAATATTACCACTTCAACTGAATACATACTACTGTTAAAATCATGGAATTTCATTTCACCTAGGAATGTTATTTGGACGTTGAGAATGATTTTTTAAGGAATGTAAAAAAGGAAATAAATAAAACAAAAAAAAGTTAACACCTATATATTTAGAAAAAATAACAAAAATTCTATGAAAAATAAATGCCACAAAATTAGCAAAAATCAAACAATCTGTGACCCTTTTTTTGTATGATAAATCAAATAAAAATCAGGAAGATCGTTATAGCAAGAGAAAAACCTGATATCACATACTTCAAGACAAAAGTGGGCTGGCTCATTCATTTAAACCTGTTTGTTACTAAGGTTAACGTTTATAAACCAACTCATTTTATGATCAAGTGTGCGACTGTTTTATATCACAGTTGATAAAAGATAACAATGCATCTTTAAGAAAGACAATCAGACCAATGCAAAAAGAAAAGTGTATACTCTATTCTAAAATGCGTATATTTATTCCAGCTTATTTCAAAACTGCAAATCTTCACTTAAGTTTACAATTATGAAAACTGTGAATAACTGCCTGAGTACTAAAAGTGTAAATGCTAATTACTTTAGGTGCATGTGTACTCTTATGTGTTACAATTCCTTTTGTTCAATAATTTTCTTATACCCAAAAATATATGTTGATCTCTGACAAAATAGTAAGTGTGAAATTATTTCAAAATAGCGAATAGTGCAATAGTATGTTTATATTTCTTTTTTGGAAAAAATAATTAAGATTTATGACCACAAATGTATGAAATTCTTGTCTGATCCAATTATATCAATTATCTGTAACTGATTTAGTAACCAAACAAGACCATTTCTTTGTTCAAAGAAAAAAATCAAATTAAAAAGAATTGAGATATTCCTGACAGAAAAAAAACTATGAAATCAGAGCTAAACAATTATCAACTAGATAAAAATGCCTTATGTCAGTCTTTCTGAAATCAACACAATGTTTGAACTTAATATTCTTATTATCAAAAATTATAATTTTTCTTTAATCACATAATTGGAAAATTGCAGATTACCCACTCAACAGCTTATCAATTCACACACATTGCAAGCCCATATAATCATCATCTTGCTATAAATTGAAAATATTGATGCTTCTTCAAACCCAAACTCATCAAAAATGTTTCTAATGTACATTAATTTTTGGAATCTGGGGCTAATATGATAACCAAATAAATCGAGGAAATAATACCCATTTTAATTAATGAATAAACATTTTCTTCCAATTAAAAATAAAAGCATGTTTCTCTCAAATATTCTACCAAGGTACTGCTCAACATATTAGTACAATCTTGCTACTAAAGATACTGCTAGATATAATACTAGTTCACTACACCCGTGTCCCATTCTGTTTAATACGCAAATCGGAGTTTTGAATCGTAGTTCAGTTTATCCAAATTTGGTGTGCATGCATAATTGATCATTGGCGGAGGCCCACACATCAGTACCAAAGTGTCAGGGCCTGGAGGGAACATATGATCTTCAATCATTTCTGAAGAGATGAATCCCACACTGTAGCGCCAACCTGTCATACAAAAGTCACAAAAATATTTTAAATGCATTTTATGTGGCACATCAACAATATGAGAAACCTTCAAAGATTATACTCACTGTCAGTTGGGCGATCTACTGTATACCAGAGTTTGAACTGAGATGGATGATTTTTTTGTACTTCCTCAAGTTCCTTTTTCAACAGGATATCATCTTCTGATTGATTGGCAAAAATCAGGGCCATTTCAGTTCGATCAGAAGAATCTCGTGTAATATGGCGTATTAATTGAAGCATTGGAGTAATTCCTGTACCTCCTGATGAAAAATTTCAAGTAAGTATTTTTACCACCAAGAGGCAATGGCAACACAATAAATTAATAAAATTGTTCCTCACCTGCTATCATATTTACTTTCTTCACACTTATCTCAGTAGGAGGATCCTTCCTCAACACTTTCACAGAAAATCGTCCTTTCCCAAGGTACACCAGTCTCCCTGATGGACCGCGAACATCAATGGTGTCACCAATTTTCATGCCTTCCAGGTACTGGCTCATTTTACCACCTTCTGGAAATTTTGGGTGAGCATTTTTGAAATATACCTAAAAAAAAAAAGAAAAGAAGATCAATACTCTTTATATTCAGCAATGAAGTTACATGTGTGTAATTAAGTATCATTTAGCAAGAAGTATCACTATATGCATTATTTTCTAATGTAGATACAAACTTTGCCTTTGATAGTAATGATAAATGTTATTAATGTACAGAGCACGACTTACTTTAATTACAAGATCCATGTAACCTTTATCTTCATCGCTAGAGACAGGAGTGTATGATCTTATGACAATCTGATCATCAATTTTTGCAGACAAGTGAATGTGCTGACCAATTGGCAAACCTGGGGAGATTTTCAAAAGGTAAATACAATACTATAACTACAACCCAAAAAAGGTATGATACAATGGATGGAAATATTCTCACCTAGAACATGATTCTTGGAAGGCAAGGCAAATCGAAATCTCCTAGTATCATGACTAATTTCCTCCTTTTCTACCAATGGAAGAGCATACTTTAGTGTAGGATCTTGAAGAGTTATTACAACACGAGACTTCTTTTTAGAAAGGTAGAGTTTGATAAGAACTGCTGTTGATATTACAGCTGCCACTCCAATGGCCACAGAAAGAACCTGAATTAAAAAAGTATAAATGTGGTTTTCAATTTAACAGTGCCAAAAAAACATTTAAAATGCTTTATATAATATTGAAAATTTACATTCGCGGCTTAATCTTCCCTGTCCTTCAGGAAATGAACAGAAATAATTAATCTAATAATTTGTCTTTTCTATCAACTTAATGAGTTTCCTGTCTTTGCAATACATTCTGATATAACGTCATTTCCTTCTTTGATTTCAATGTTTTTCAAATTTGCTATCTGAGTTTTAGATAACTTAAATTTCTTATTTGATTCTTTCATCTTAGTTTTTTTGTGATGTCAGTTTGGTTTAGCTGTAGAGTTAAATTAGTGGAAATTCCATGCACATTTGAATTATCACAGTACCACAAACCATTAAAATGTTGTATATATGCTTTCAACAATGCTTGAGTTTATACACTTTTAACTCTTATTAACCACAATCACTTTGTGAAACTGTATCCACGTCATCACACGATTATGTACTTTGTGTATTTTTTACTGATATTTACATTCTTATATCTTTAAATTCTTTTTCATCACCACCTGAATGATTTCTAACAAAGAAAGGTGTATTAAAAATTTTACTTCATTTGTATTTCATTGAACAGTCTTTATCATTGTTCATTACTTCTAACTTGGTGTACCGATTTGAAGGTCTTGTTCTTCTGCATTGTCTGCTACTCTCTTAAGTTTCCATATCTTTTCTGTACTTGATTTTTTTTCTAATTTTCATTTACTTATAACTACAAGTAAATCTGCTCTACCTGCATAATTATTTCCCAGAGACCACCTAAATGTACCCTCTTCCAAATTTTTCTCAAAGACTTCATTTCCTTCAAGCCCTTCCAACCATATTGAACTTTTACATCAACTTCATGGCAAAATCATAAATCCTCCTTGCTTATTTTCCTTCAAATGACACATTTCTGCTCTTTCTATCTTCATATGAATCATGTCATTCACATCATTTATTTCCTTCTTTTCCTAAAATAATCACCTGACATCCTTACAATTTTAAAAAAGTTTTTGCCAATTTTTAATTTCTCTCTTTTCATTTCCTGATCACTTATCAAATCTCAATTTGAGTCTTTTCTCATGTGGAGTTTTTTGCACCTGGGTATTTCGTTCAGTCCCAATATCTTTTCATACATGACAATAGTACCCTCATGCCCTTTATTTTTTCCTCACATAAGGCTATGAACTAGCCCTTGCATTAACTAAAGTAATTACAACATTAACATGCATCTTTAGTGAACATTTAAAGCATAGAAACAAAAAAACATTGAAGAGAATTTCCAGTTCACATTCACTTAAATACACAGAAAATACATTATTCATGCACATTTATTTCATTTGAAAGCTGAGAATACAAGGTTAACAGAGTAATAATAATACAGAATATTGACATTAACTACACACAAATCTAAGTTATTTTTAAAACACTGTATTTAATGCATTTACAGCATGACTTCAAAGGGTAAAAGCTTAGATCTACAAGACAAGCAGATCATAGTTATCTGAATTATATGTTTTATGATAAGGTCTTTTAAAAATTATGAAAATATTTTTTCTTTTTTTAAACAGTAACAAAATGAATCAATGCAAGCACAAAACCAATCAGATAGTCTCATTAACATGACAACTTAAAGTTTTCACAAAAGCATTTGCAGTCATGTAATAATATGACCAATAATTATATAATGGCAAGCCCATAATTAAGTTTTAACATCAGAAAGTCTTTACTGTTTTTAGACAAAAATAATTCAAATCAGATCATTATGGTGCAAATTTTTTTTGTAGTTTTTTAACTATATGTCATATATAGATGTCAGCTGACATCATTTGTCATTTTTAAAAACTTTCCCAAAATTAAAACAATTTTCAGAAGGGGTGAAGTTTGAGTAGCCAATTGCATATATTTGTAATTTTTACGATTTGATTTTAATATTGAAATGTTTTTTATTAATTAATTGCTACATTCGGTTATTTATGTTTAAGGTATATTAAAACCAATAAAACTTGGAACGGTTAAAGTACGGTACACGGTACACCCTCAGAGAAGCGTGGCGGCGGGGGTCTCCTTAAGTCCTAATTACTGTACGTGCTCTGATAGAAATATATAAAAATTAGGAGATTTTCATGGTTCGCTCTTCATATGCTTTGTCCCCACCGCAATGTAATGTCAATTTACTTTCAAAGGCAAGTTTTATCGCTTCGCTCGCGCGGATCCAAGTTACGGCGAGGCTCGGCCCTCGTGTTCACTACATCCTTGAGTCTATTCACCGCATAATTACCAATTCACTTTTATAAGACCACTTTTCAAGAAATCCTCCAGAATTCTAACTGCCTAGTTGACGCCGGCGCAGCGCGAAGTGCCGGTTTAAACGACTACCTGAAGTCGTACCGTATACTAGTCTTCAGCCTTTGGAACTATTAAATTAATATCAATGACTTAACAATAATCCATGTTTAAAGTTAAAAAATAAATAAGATGCAATTAAATATAATGCTTCATTTAATTATCAGATAGATGTATAAAACATCCCAAAGCTGTGTTATTATTAATAGTTTTCACCTGATATTTGTTCTACATCTTATTTAGCTCCTAATGACTAGTATCATCCAAAAGTGCAGACTTGTTACCCTAACAAATATTATCTTAGTCATAAAATATCCTAAAATGAACAATGAACAATTATTAGAAGTTCAGCAAACTTGTTAATCTTTATTTATGACTTAAACCAGACTACATATAAGCAGCAAGTGAAGCACACATTCACACATTAGGAAATCCACAAACATTATTATTACTTGCTTTTAAATAGTACCAGACTTCAAACTTCAGTGGAAATAAGGATTTTAACACATTTAGAAAATTATACAGATCAGAAGTTACAACACTTATGGGTACAAAGGAAGATTAAGATTCTACAAGCAAGGGAAATGTGTGTAATAAGTTTCAGTGAAGCCTTCAGGGAGTGTCATAAGACACCCTGCTTTGTAAAGTGCAATACCAAGGAAAACATTTAACAGGGTTTATAAAGTATCAAAATGACATTACCACTTGTTTTGACAGGACCATTCTGAACCTCTTTTACACAGAACAAGGGTGTGAAACGGTGTACTGATGCAGGTACTCCACACAAAAAAGAAATCAATGTTGTGTTGTGAAGACAAACGAAGAAGAATTCAACTCTGATAAAGAAAAGAGTGACCTATTAAAATATATAAAACTACAGGATATTTTGTTTAACCATCCTTTTAAATACATGTAAAAAAATAATGTATGATTCGGAAAACGCGGAAGATAATGGACGACACTATACAACTTAGACCAATTTTAAACTGTCCTGAGTTTATTTTTTGTGATAAAAAATAAGAGGTTGTTTACGCGAAATTATGAGCTACGTGAACAACCAAATGGGACGTACTACAACTATTTCCACCCACTTAAAACACCATTAATCACAACAATTCGCACACTGAGATTGGAGATATTTTGAGCACTTTGCATCTCCGCTCTCATGCAAAGGCGTGGCTATTTTCTCATTATGAACAGGTGAAACAAAACCCCTTCCTTGAAATAACAAGGCTCGTCGTATGCGTAGCACCGTCAGAGCACCGTTTTGGATTTACACTGGTTTACTGCCCTTGCCAACACGTACCGATGAATCTGATGTGTTTGTCATCGTGATTATTACTTGAAGACGCCCCTTTAATCCAAGTTTATCTGCATGGGAAGTTAGTTGGAACCTTTAAGCAACTTTTAAAAATCCTGAAACACGAGAAATAATCTTCACTTTCCAAACTGAAGTACTTCAAGGTTATCAGAGACCAAGATGACATGATGTTCAGGCAGATTTTCAACAACCCGTGAATCAATGCAAAATTTATTAGACCGAAAAATAAAAGTGTAGGTCTTGAATTGACATTGGTAAAATTGTTGACGCATTTGTAATATAATTTTCCAAAAGCCAAAGCATTTCAATTTTCCTAATTTGGAACGTTTGAAACGAACCCATTGGGCTTTTCTGATGTTGCTGTTGGTATGATTAGTATCAACTCAACTTGAAGTGCTGTGATCGCTGTGATAGGGATGTAGTATGTTCGAGTAGTGGAATGAGTGATTGAATTAATGTAATTTTTTTACAAAATCTATGGAGATGGAGAATAATAACAATGAAAATAGGGTAATGTATTATGTAATGCAATTTTAATTGTTTGGAAGATTTTTTTTGTATTTTGTGCACTGGGTCCTGTAGCTCTTAATACAACATTCATTCAGTCATCACCTGCCAGGAAATGACATTTCAGACTGAATTTTCATTAATTAAAAATATTCGTTTCTGTAGGAATATTGTCTTCTCACGTTTTTTTTTAATTTTATAAGAGATTGAGATTGACAAGATCTACCTAAATAAAGTGGCAGCCCATTACTGGTATAATTTCTTGTTTTTCTGATTTTTGAGGTTCTATTAATTCATTCTTATTTTACAGAGCATTGAGGAGTTAACACCAGAAGAAAAATGGAGGTACTTTTGACTTCCACTATAATTTTTCTTTTAACAATGTGCTTTTGGTATACAAGAATACCTCATGCAACCTTACATCTGTAATTGAAAGTTTTCAGTAGCACACTGAAAAACTAAAGATGTAATCAAATTTGAAGACTCTCAATTTTTGGCGTGCTGAAAATATTCTCGTTATAATCAGATGTACTCTAAACAGACAGGATTCTGATATTGTAGCTGAACTAGAATATTAAAAGCCCCTGGCCTACCCCTTTTAAAATAAATAAAATTTGGAATAATAAGCAAATTAATTTGATTCAACGTTCAAGATTAACAGATTGCAAAAATTGAAATTTTTAAGAAATTCAAATTGATTTCTTCTCTAATCACACATCTCAAGGAATTTACATTGACAAAAACTTAGTGCTAAAAAATATGTAGTGTTTCCTTAGCATGAGCTTTTTTTATCTCTGCATATAACTGATGTTATACAAAAGAATTATTCGTTATCTGTGAAAAACCTGTAGAATATCACAGTCATGTAGATGAAGTATCGTGAATATAACTTGAGAACCTTAGATTGTATTGAATTTGGTGCTGCGATTACTAAATTTTGTGAATTTCTAAGCAAAATATGAAATTGTGAAAAATTTGCTTTTAGATTTAGAATTAAAAGCAGTAACAGAAATATGTTTTTGGGTGTGAGTCGCCATTCTGTGTGTGTGCATTTGGTTCTCAACAAAATTACTCTCAATGTAGTACTCTTCAACCATGTATGGCAATCATGTTGTGAATATGAATGTAAAAGTGTTCCAGAAATGTAGATGAGTTATGACAATATATGAACACATTTCAAATTATCAGGATTTGGTAATTAAGAAAGTCTCAAAAATCAAATAATACTAATTTGATTTGAATTGTTATGCCAATCCCCATTTCTCCATTTTCCCATACTTTTCCCCTCAGAGATATCATTTGTGGTGAATTATTAGACTAGTCTTGGCCTCATAATCAGCATTAATTATTTACTTTGGTGTACTTTATTAGAACTGATGTGCATCTTTTTTTGGCTGATGTGTATTGTTTTTATTCACAGGAGGGAACATATGAAATTACATGAACAGCACAGAGGACATGACACAATGCATGCTGAGATGGTTCTAATTCTTCTAGTCACATTAGTTGTAGCGCAAATCGTTTTAGTAGAGTGGAAAAAGAGGCATTTTAAATCATATCAGGTAAGCCTGTAATATTATTATTGTGGTTTGTTTTTTTATCGTGCACTGTTTAAAAAGACCATGTAATATTAAGAGAACTAAAAGAATTTTATTACAATGCTATTGAACAGTTTTAATAAAATAAAGGTAAGGGTTGATGTTAATGAAGTTGACCTCATCAAATGAACTTTTGGAATATGTAGCGTTAGAAATGTACTGGTGTTGTGATTTTTAATATGAGAAAATTATGCATTAATAATCACCCTTCCTGTTTTAGTTCATTTCACTTTTGGGAATGTGGATAATTCCACTTGTTATGTGCCTGAGGAATCAGTGGTGGAGATTCATATTCTTCTGGCTCTTGTTTTCTTGCATTACTGGTTTCATTGTAAGGAAAGCTGTTCAGAAACCAATTGAGGGCACCACACCTAGGTGCGTTTGACTTATCATAAGCATGTGCAAGTTACATTCATTTTTAAATTTTATTTGTTTTTGAACAACGCGCAATTTGCCCTGCCTGTGATGTTTTACGAGTGAGGGTATGATATTATCAGGGCTTGGATTCTGGTGACGTGAAAAAAATCTTTGAAAAAGAACCTATAAAATGAATAAAAATAAGAGGAAAATGACCTATAAAATGAGATGAAAATAAGGGGAAATGACCTAAATACTAAAAAAAATTGTACGAATGTGTTTATGTATTCGAAGAATTTTACAACGGTAAATAAAATTTATTTATATAAAATTATATTAAAATATAAAGGAGGAAATGTAATCTTTAGCTCTGATTTTTAAATTGTCAGTTTTGAAAGGTTGAGGAAGTTGCTGACAATCCGTTTAATTTTGTGAGTTTGAAAAACTGAATTTAGTGCAGTAGTGAATTTTGTCATGAACTGATGATACAATAAAAACTTTGTTTTAGTGTGTCATTGTAAATTCATGAAAGATTCGCTAAACCAAAAAATAAACAATATGCCTAAAAATGACATAAAAGTGACTTAAAAATTGAAAGAAAAAAAAAAGACTCTATCACTATACGTTTCTATCACGTACACATTGTGATAAACATACATTTAATAGTTAGCTACATCTAGAATACACCAATGTAAAGATGACATGTCATCAGAATCTGAGCTCTGGCTATTAGTTTAACCATATATTAAATTTATGCTTTAAGTGTTACATTGAGCCCAGTATTGTCTTTATTTATATTTTTTTAAACTTTCTTTCTACTGAAGTGTCTTTTTTGCCCGTGTCAAATATGATGGTAATTTAGTGGAAAGTCAGTAATCGGTTATCTCTTATTTACATTTTTTGATTACATGTTTGTAAATAAATAAAAGATGTATGGTAATAGAAATATTCTGATGAAAACACTTAATGAGAAATTTGTTTATTAGTGTTTGAAGCAGAAACTGTAAAAATGCCAATAGTATTCCTTAGTGTTCTATTGTTCTTTCACAATTGAAATCTTTTCTTAATCTCTAAGATTTACGTTAAATGCACGAGAAAAACTTGTAATTTCTATATTTACTCGAAAATGAGACCCAATCAATGATAACATCTGAGTTTTTGATTAAATTGTGCATAAATGATTTTGATATTGAAATATTAAATTTAGTTAATGAAATTCTTGCAGAGTTAACACTTGAAATGAAATTTCTTCTGACTCTGTGGAGTTGTTGTAAATATCTGGCATTTCCTTAATGGTGCATGGAAAAGAAGATGTTTATGATAATTGTGGTGAAGGTTGTGACTAAATCAAGAACAGTAGATGACGCTGACTATTGCAACAGGGATTTTACCTAAACATTATCAGCACTACACTTATGATTATTGAGTGAATGGAGGCCTAAATGCAGGAAATATGAAGATTATACATCTAGTTCTTGTTATTTTTTATTTGTAGCTAAATTCAGCATTCTTTATATCAGGCATTTACATTTATTGTTATTTTGCATTTTCGTCCTTCCACACACTGATTTTCAAACTTTTAGACAATTTAAGTCTTAAGATGACGAAATAGAAAGAAAAGAGGGCTCTTATATTCTAGTAAATATGGCAAATAAATTGTGTGTTAAGGTTATTGTGATAAAATAATTTTGTGGAATGAAGTGATTACTTTTATCTCCTCCTAGATTGGTGTACAAGTGGTTTTACTTCCTCTACAAACTTAGTTATGCTCTCGGCTTGATAGGGTACTTCATCCTCTGTGCCACATTTTTTGGGCTCAATCTTGTTTTTGATGCCAAACCACAATCCTGGGTGGATGTTGGTGTCTTATTCCTATTTTACGGACTGTATTATGGTGTGTTAGGGAGAGACGTAGCAGAAATATGTGCTGACACAATGGCCTCCCATGTTGGTGTAAGTTCCTTGCATATAAATTTTTGAAACTAATAGACAATACACAATTATTTTATGATGAGTTGGATTTTAATTTATATCTGTTAATTACAGTATTATACAGCTCAAGGAATGCCAACACGGCATTTAGAGTCAGGCGTGTGTGCTGTGTGTGGTAATCGTTTATTGGTTGCAGAGAATGAAGAAGGTGTTCTAGAAAACACCTATAAACTTTCTTGCAACCACGTGTATCCTTTTAAATTCACTGAACAATATAAAGTGGATCTTCAAATTTTTCAGATGTGTTATTGACCATCTAAGCCTTTTTTGTCTGTTCAAAGCCTTTTTTCTTTTATTTTAACTTATTTTCATTCTAAAACTGTATAAATTGAGGCAAATCTTGTTTTATACCTAGGAACTTTGAAAATTAATTGTGAATATTCTCTGTTTTGCAAATAAAATAGGATATGTAAATGAGACAATTGAACCATGACTTATTAATTAATCAATTTGAAAGTTTATTTTCCACTTGAATAAAAGTCTGGTTAATCCTAAACTATATCTAAGACAAAAAAATTCTTTCCATAACACGTATACAATTCAAAATTAAATGGTCAGTATTGTGTAGACCCTGCTTTACTTTTTATCACTTCTTCCAATCCGGGGAAAACTGCTGATGATTTTGTTTAAATAATGTGGGCATAATCGCTCCCATTCTTCTTTGAGCTTGTCAGTTGTATTTTTTATTGAAGTTGACAGTGTCAAATTCAGAGTCCTTCAGTTACCTCGTAAATTTTTTTTGGAGTTAAGGTTGGGTGATTGTGATTGTGTCTCCAAAACTTTTGGGGCAGATTTTGAGCACCCATTCCTTTATGTGCTCCTTCGTGATTCAGATTTTTTTGATATTTTTCCTCTAATACTGCGAAAGGATGCAGGTCCCATTTTTGTGAATTGTGTATTTTTGGAAATTGCCAAAAATTACGTTGTAAAAGTATAATATTGCTGGCAATGAAATCTGTGAGGGAAAAGAAATCTTTGTATAATGTCATTTCAATTTTAAATTAGGAGTAGGTTTCAAGTAATTTTTACTTTCGCTTGAAGTAAAGTCAATTTACATAAAAATCTTTTTTTCTCAAAAACAGCTTCAAACTTTTTCCTTAGATCAAAGGAGGTTGAAAGATGTGTCACAGATGTCATTTTCATTGAACTCTTTGAATTTTCAAAAATTGTAAAAGTTCCAAATGCAGTGTGTGTTGTACTAGTTAGATTTGAGATGCACGTAGAGTTCTTGTATGTGTATATTACACTTTGGTGTTCTTCTTTCCTTAACAGTTTCAGATTTCATGAGTTTTGCATTAGGGGTTGGTGTATTGTTGGCAAGAAGCAAACGTGCCCATACTGCAAAGAAAAAGTAGATTTGAAGAAAATGTTTTGCAATCCGTATCCTTTTCCAATTGAATTACTTTGTGAAACCATGTGTTTAATTAAGAAGAAAAATTATCTTTGATATTTTTTGATGAATGTTTTGATGAACGTTTCTTTCAACGTGTGAATGTGTGGATGTGTGCAAGTGCATTCAAATATATTTATCATGATATCAATCAATTCATGAATTATAAAATGGACATTCAGGTAACTGGTAGCTTGTGATATTGATTCATTTATGTTGTTCGCTTGTGTTTTCTTCTCATGTCATGGAAATAATAAAAAATCATCTGAGGTAAATAATTGGAAGCATAGCATTCTAGTTATTAATGAAACAAATATAGTACTTAGTATTGAACTGAGTCAAAAGATCTTTCTTCTCCTTTTCTTTTTCTTGGTCTCTTTGTTATTCTTCACAAAAGCTTGTGAAGCATAAACATAGAGGAATTGCTTTTTAAAACAATAGGCAAACTTCAGCTATTTGCGGTTCTGAACAAATATTAATCAATATGACACAAATATTTTGTAAATTTCATCTCCTGGTCACAGTATAGTATATCTGTCTGGACTCTTTATTTCCTTGAGGCTGTTCAAAGAGTTGGCTGTGCCACTAATGGAGCAAGCCATGACAAAGAAAACTATTTTTCTTCTAGTTTTTTCTGATTACTCTAATGTAGATGGGAACGCTTGGTTAGGATTGAGAATCGATGACTGAGCCTTTTAGCTGCAATTTTGGAGCCAAGTATTTCAAACACTATATTTATTATACTAAGGTACATACATGATTCTTTATTACTCGATGGCTGAAGACTGAACCTAAATTCTTAGTAGCTAAGTGCCCTTAAGTACTATAATAGTAAAGAGCCACTTGGTGCAGGTGTGTCAGGTGTGAATAAATCGAGGGGGGATTGAAAATAAAAGTACAAATGTTTAGTATTCTTCAAAGTAGCACCCTTAAGCATCAGTACACTTTTGCCAGCGATTCTGCCAGCTCTGGAACGGGTTAATGGGATCCTCCTTTAGACACCTCATCACTTCAGCTTTCACAGTATCTACCATCTCATAATGACCCTTAAAGTCTCTCTTTATTCGAAAAAACAAAAAGAAGTGTGCAGGTGCCAGATCTGGACTGCATGGTGGCTGGGTTAGCAATGTCACACTGTGCCTGGCCAGGATCTTGCTAACATTAGAGGCAGTATGAGATGGCGCATTGTAATGATGGAGTCACCAATTTCCACTGATCTCCTTCCTGATGCGAAGCACCCAGTTCCAGAGCCTCTCAAAGACTTTGAAGTACAATTGACCATTAAAGTTTGTCCTGTGGCACAAACTCTCAGTGGACAATGTCCTTGGAGACAAAAAAGATGGTGAGCATTGCCTTTACCTGAGACTTCATCAGTCTTGCCTTTTTTGCCTTTGTGTGCCACTCTGCACTTTGTTTTTTGGATTCAGAATCTTATTTAAAAACCATGTTTCGTCCATTAGAACATTATAAAAAATTATCAGATCACTGTTGCAACACTCCGAAGGGTCATGTATGATTGTTCAACAATCAGACTTTCATTCATCCAATAGCACAGAATCTTCTTCACACAGACCTTCCACATGGCCAAATGTTCAGTAAGAATTTCATGCACTATGGTATTTGTATTTTACATCCTTCTGCTATCATTCACCACCCGAGTGTTGGTCAGAGTCCGAAACTTCCTTCACTTTCTGCACATTCTCAACACACAAGACAAGGAAGTGCGTGCAGGCCATTGTTCATCGACATCTTTCTCTCCCCCCCCCCCCCCCCGGAACATCTTGCACCACTGTAAATCATGTTTTTGACATCACATAACCCTGTAAGCTTGTTTAAGCTTGGTGACAGTCTCGGAGATTGACTTCCTAATTAAACACAAAATTAAATGACATGTTGCTGTACACAGTGAATTGTGGCTTTTTCATCTTCATACACATCACTTGAACATATGTACACACTAGAAGCAATCCGCAATGGGCAACAGCCAGCCAGCAATTGGCTAGGGATGCATTACCTTCCCAAGACTCTCCACCCACTATTCCCCCACCAGTTGCAACATGGTAGCCTTCCAAAATGGAAGGAAAATATCGTTCAACTTACATTCTGGTCACATGTCTGAAGAGTGACAGAGTATAGAGCAGCCAACGAGTGATGGGGCTGAAATCCCAAGGCTTCCACAGATGCTGTCAAAGTGTCGGATGAAGAGTTCATTTGCAACCCTATGGGAAAGTTCCATGCAGACGGAGTGGGGGGGGGGGGGGGCAGAGTGCCTCTGTAGCGAAGATCAGACTTTGTGACCGACAAGACATGATGAAGATTTTGAATGCAGGCTTATATTGCACAGGCAATGTATCCATAAAATTTGCATAAAAGTTTTTACGAACTGTTTCCAACTTTCTTTGTTGCTTAATTGGTCACTGTATGGGTGAGGGGGGAAAAAAAGAGATTTTTGTTAGGTTTGATTTAGAAGACCATTCCATTCTTATAGCCAACTTGTTTCTTTTCTTGAATGAACTTTTCCCTTAACTCCAAGTAGATGGGAACGACCACATGTTCTTTATGGGCAATTGCTAGACTGGATCCGCTGGCTAGTTGCTTGGCAGCCTCTTATACTCTTTCTTGTGCAGGGTATAAACTGGGCCTTGGGTTTGGAATGAATGTGTAATATTTAAGTTTAAAAACTGTATGGAAAATGTGAAGAAGAATCCTGTGTCTGAGTATGTATAGAGATTGTGTTTCTTAGTTTGCCATAAAGCTGTTGTTTTAATATTTATATTCAATCAAAATCTGTGTGTTTGCCTTGCTACTCAAGAATACATCAATGTATTACAGAATAAGTGTTCAAATATGAAAATGTTTTTATTTTTCAGTTGTTATTATTTTTTCTGAGAATGTTACCAAATATAGTGACTGTGAATTTTGATTATTTGTATAAAGTACAATTATCACAACTGTACCTAGCAATTGCTATAAAGCGGATAAATCTTCTTATACTGTTGTTAATGTTGAAAGGTAATTTCTTTTCAGAATCAATGTGTAGTTTTGAAGAGGTGAGGTTTTTTGTAAAGCAAATTAACATTTTGACATTCTTTGAATCCAACACCCTGTGCTTTTGCAGGAAGTGGTTTAAATTACGTATATTGTTGTATTTACTTGGTACTTAAAAAAATCTGGTTTACGCCTTCTCCGATACATCATGTCTTTGATATCTGAGTAATAAAAACACAGTTCACGACCATGATTGTAAAAAAAGTGCTGCATTTTAATTATAAATGAGTAATAGTATTTGAAGTTTTTATTATCCTTTGTACATTGAAACTCAGAATATTTATTATATTACAATTATTGACCCTAGTCAAAAATATGTTTTCTATTCGTAAATGTTAGAAATCAATTTTCTTTAAGATTGTACTTCCTTTTTTGTATTGGTTCTGTATTACTTTAAATTTTTATACATGTTGGCATACTTTTTGCTAACTAAATGATCTCGCTGGTATTAATGGTTTTGTAATAAATACTGCACTTATAACCTCATGTGTTTTTTGAAAATGTATGAAAATACCCAGTAATAAATATGAGAAAACTGAATAGCCAACATTTTCATCATCAATTATAAACATTTAATGTTTTGCTGGAATGTGTTTATTTTGCACTGTACCATGAAAGGCATGTTTACAACAGACCAGATGCACCCAATGTAAAAAAATCAGCAAATAAGGGTCTAACTGGTCTCTAACTTTTTGTAGTGATTTGAATTACCAGAAATATTAGAATTGTGAGTGATGAAACTCGAAACATGAAATCTTTAATTTCTGTTACTCTAAGAGTTTTGGATAGCTAGACTTCTTCAAATATTATTTCTTGTATGGGAAAACCATTAAAGGAAAAAAAATAACAAACAGATTTTAATTTTAGAAAATCATTTTAAAAACTCCATGACTACGGTAACAACCTTCTTGAATTTCAGAAAATAAATCTCTGTAAAGTTGATTGATTGTATGTATGTATTGTAAAATAATACAATTTGGTGCTAGAATTCAGTAATATAATTGAGGGGGGTTTTATTACAAGAACCAAACAAGTCCAAAATTCCATATTTTAAGACATTTCAAGTTATTCCCTAAAACTGGCTCTCTCTGATGGGATATATTCTTTTACCAACTGCCAAACACATTGAAAGATATAAGGTGGGGGAAAATCGTAATTTCATTACTATGCCCATCTATTCTGAACTTTTTAGTGCCTACTGAAAAATCTTGAATTTGGATTAGTTTGGTTCTTGCAAGAAACCCTTCATTCGTAAGTTTGATATTTGTATGTTATTCGCTAATATATTATGTCGGTAATACATTTGAAATTCGATTTGTTTGAAAATTCAATTGTTTAAAAGAAATATGAATGAATTCCAGCATGCTCAACTCACTTCTCCAAAAATTAGAGCAATTTTTTGAAAATTTGTAAGACTTGTGAAAATAAGTATGGGTGTTAAGTAATGTCTATTAAAAATTTGAAAATATTCATTTGACATTAATAAAAGCTTCTAGCATGTATTGGAGGAACCAAAAATTATATGGTTTAAAAATCCAGTACTCTTGAGTTGTTAAAAAAAATGACGCAATTTTTGAAAATTAGTTCAATAGGAATACTTGATACATTGTGATACACAATGTTAATTGGATTCTATTCATACAAACAAAATTTAAGAAAAGAGTTTTTTTTTTTTTTGAGGGAACATTTTGGAAGTTGAGTATGCATGTACAGTACATGCCAGAAATTAAAAAAAAAAAATTGTTACGATGGGCAGGAGGCAGACCATATTGGCAAACCTATTTTCTAAACAATTTCTGGGTAGAAAATAATGTTTTTTCAACGATGGGTTGATATACATACATTTTTGGGACTAGAAACCAAAATGCTTTGTTTCAAGAACCTTCCAAATAAGCATTTGTGAAAAATTTTGAAATTTCCTTTTCAAATAATACCTTCTTCATATGTGCTTAGTGTTGTATGCTCACCAAATGTAATTAAATTGGTAACTGGAATGAAATGTTCTGATAAAATTAAAGGCCATCCATTTCCTATTACAGGAATGTTTTATTTTTCTTCTGTATCACGTTTTGTAGTCTGATATGACATCTTGAGGTATGGAACTAATTACAGTAAAATCTATCTTAACCGGAACCTGTACAAGCCAGAAACCTGCCTTAAACGGAAAATTTCCCTGGCACGTGAAGTTGTATGGTATTTTACACGGTACCTGCCCAATGCGGAAACGGAACGATTTTTCATATACTATAGTGGGGCAAAATCTTTATTTGGAATTCCTAGAATTCTGCGCGAATAACCGCGCTGTGGAGAGGGGCTTCAGCTGACAGCGTACATCGACTTTGGGGCACTTGTCTCTCAAAGCTAAGGCCGTAGGGAAATTCCCTGCCCCCTCCCCTCTCCACTCTTAACATAAGAAGGTGTATGGGCATAGCTTCTATTCTCTCCTCTCCCTGCCTCACGCTCAAACCGTGAGGCATCGACCGTCAAGTTGCTCAAGGCTATGCGAAGGTATAAGAATATCATAGTACTCTGGACTGGGACGCATTGCGAGTTGAATCAGCAAGCAGTCGGATTTAAACCATTAGGCAGTGAGGTGATGTCTATTTTCATGAGTTTCACAATCAGTATGACAATGCGAAAATCATAACACTCTTAACATTAGATGAAATGGTCAAACTTATGGAAACAAGAGAAACTCAGTCAATAAAGAATTTTTAAAATTCATTTATTGGCGATATCTTCCATAAATACGTTGTATGTAAATCTATTTTAATAATCATAATAAAATCATGTTATTATTATTACTTCTTTACTTTATCTTAGAGTTTCAGAACGGAAATATCAATGTCACAAGTGTCGTTAAATGGACAACACTGCATAAAACGGAAACCTCTCTAAACCGGAACTTTTTGTCCCTACCGATTCAGGCTTAGCTTTTACTGTACAAAAAACACTTTATATAAATAAGACTAGTAATATAACACAATTGAAACGGTAAACAGTTGAGAACAAATGTCAACACAATACAAACAAATGTCCACAAAGAGTTTGAACTTGTATTAGACCAAGAAGATTTCTCTAGTAGCAATGTAAAACATAAATGTATTTATTAAACTTTTTGAAAGTATCACAATGAATAAAATTGTTTAAAGTATCAATTATCACATGGTATCACAAATGCAATTATCGATGACATACGTGATAGAAAATGAACATAATGAAAATTTGAAGAATAAGGATTTCAGACAATTTATGTGGACGATTATATTAAGGTGTCAAATCCAAATCAAAAGTCTTAACTAAATTGCGCGTTTTCCCATTTATTTATTCGTGATCAGATTGTTAGATATGTAAACTTGCAGTGGTGCAATACGCGCCCTACGCGGGCTAAACTATCCCCACGCTTTTCTTATTCTACCAGGGAGATTGCTCCCCAGGGTGGGCACCTAGGCTTCGTCCACAACCTTTCCGGCGCACAAGTACTCCGTCAGGCGGGAATCCGCAAGCCGCCGAAACGCAATTACCCTTCTCGGGAACCACTTAAATTAAGCCTGAATGGAGCTACTAGTGTGACGTCATGGATACTCACAGCGATTACAGATACGAGCTTTCTTATTATCAAATATTTATTTACAAGAAATATTTACAATGAATTTTTCACTTTACATCGTAACACTGATAGACCTGCTGTCCCCTGATCGCGGGAGCGATCCCAACCCGGCGGCGACGATGGTGTAACGGTTAGCGTTCGGACCCAAGTTCGCGGGTTCAAAACCGATCGAAGTCGTGGGGTTTTTAAGGGCGAAAAATCCTTCGTACGCCTTTCTTCGGAGAGGAAGTAAAGCCGGCTGTCCCATGTTAGTAGATTTACTTGCATGTAAAAGATCCTCAAGCCTAAATGACGCCTCTGAGCTAAATTCAAATCGCCGGTTTCGCGCCCAAGAAATACCTCCTTCCTCTGCTAGTTGATGAAAGGAGCGTAGCGAAATTTGCGTGGTCAGGCGGAAGAGCGGACCTGATGGCCCGAGTCTCGCCACGTAAAATAAGGCAAATTCAATTCAACCCGATTGAAGATCGGTTTCAATTGTGGCACTCGCCACTTCTACATCTGAAGTGCGCACATCGCTCCCACGTTCATATGAATGCTCCGCATCCCACATCATGAAGTCCAGGCGGGGAAACGGACCCCTCCGTCGGGTAGCCTGTCTCTGGCGACACTCACGTCGTTAGCCTCAAGGTGGAGGCAGTGAGGAGGCGGGGACCCCGAGCCACCATCGCTCCCACGTGACCGCAGTCAGCCAAGGACAGAAAGTCCTCCGCCGAAAGTCCTTCGAAGAGCCCTGCTCGCCGCTGCACCGTCATGGCGTCAAGTTTGTGCATCTGCGCGAAGTTCTCCCACTGTCTCCAGATACCACTTATTGGCTCTGTGCACTCTCTTATATACTTGAGGCTCATGCGACCTACTACGTCACGCCGCCTCCGCAGCGCACTTCAGCTCGCCTTGAGGTTTGGATCTCCGTCCCCTAAGACCAGAGGAACCCAAAGTCTCGTTTCCCTTTGCCACGTGCTTGCTTTTATGAGAAACCCTTCTCTCCTTCCTGTGGCGAGACGGTTTCCTGTTACTAATCCCTTACCACGCGTTCCCAAATAGCTACCACAAGGTTCGCTCGCTACTACGTTACACTAGCTTTCCAGGCTAGCACGGGAGTTGAATTAAGCGTCACTCACAATACGCGGGGACTAATCCCTTCACAATTGCCCGCGAGAATTGGGCACTGCCGCGACGAAACCAAGAACCTCCCTAAGGGCTACCTGCGCCGAGACCCGAGTGGCTCAACCCGTCTCACTTCCTTCACCTGGAAGCTGTCGACGTGAGTACCGTCTGAATCTAGGCTACCTGACAAGGATTCATGCTCTGCCGGGCATTTGTATGTAGGTTTGTGACGAAACCGCTCCCCAATCCTGCCCAAACATCCGCCGCCTTCTCACTTCATCCACCTTGAAACTAACGATGTAAGTCGAGTCCAGGTGGACGTTACCTCCTCCATCAAGAGCCTCAGGCCTTGCGACAATCTGCCCCCCCCCCCGAGAAATGTATTGGTACTGCGTGAGCTTACCACCTCACACAATATCTAGTTCTATCTGGCAGCTAACCAGGCTAGTACCGGACTCCGAATAAAGTGCTACTCACATGCGCCGGGAACAAGTTTCTCCCCTTTCCCCAGAGTATCGGACCACTGCCACGACGAAGCAGAGAACCCAACAGGGGACCACACGAACTAAGGTTCAGGTGGCTCGGGGTCCCATCCCGTCTCCACACTGCCTCCACCTTGAGGTTAACGACGTGAGTGTCGCCAGAGACAGGCTAGCAGACGGAGGGGTCCGTTTCCCACCCTGGACTTCATGATGTGGGATGCGGAGCATTCATATGAACGTCCTTGGCCCAATCCAGCCCAAGGGTAGGCGCCAATGACCCAACTGGTGGGTTACAAAGGTAGAACGGCAACACGGGATTTGTGCCTACTCCCTGTCTCCGTCACCGCGAGGGTCCGGGTGTTCGCCTACACTTCTCCGATCTCATCAGAGATCGTGACCACATGCGCGGCCGCGAGAAATAGAGGGCACAGTAGAATAACTGCAGTGCGCCTACCTCGCACTTGTACTTTATCTGGGGGAATAAATCCTCGAGGCGTGCTCCTTGGCTGATTAGCTTGATGTCCCCCTTAGGCATTCAAGAATGGCACCGGCCAATATCTGGATCACGCCAGAACGCAGTTTTCCCTCTCGGTAACCTTCCTATACAATGTCTGGGTTGGGCCGCCCTGCGAGCTCAGAGCTCCTAGCTTTCTTCGTATCGGAGTCAATATTGCCATATGACAAGGCGCCGGAACACCAAGTCCCTCCTCAAAGTATTGGAACACTGCCATGACCAGCCAAGAGCCCAACTGGGGGCCATCCGAACTAGCGTTCAAGCGGCTAGGGAAAAGAAAAAAAAACACAAAAAATTTGGATTAAAGTTTTTATTAAATCCTTGACCATTAGCTGTGCTAATGTAAAGTTCCACAAGAATTTTTCAAAATTCAACTATCAAATTACACCTAAACGGTGCGCTAAACGTAGTACAAAGTTGCAAAGAATAAAATTGTTGGAAATTTTATGCAGAATATTTTGGTAAATGGAATTTTTTTCATGTTTTTATTTTGAACTCAAATTCCAAATACTTTTTGGCAAATTTCGTATTCAGCACTCCAAAATACATATCGGAACAAAAATCAAAACCACACCTCATGTTTTAATAAACTACATCATGACTAGACTACAAATACTACTTTTTAATAATCTCCCAGTTATAGTAAAATCGGCGGATAGTAAATACTTCAAAACATTGCTTTTCGACCACATTACTATGTGTCCATATACGATATCTGATGTACTTAAACTTTTTTGTAATTGTTAAACACATATTGCTTCAAGAGTAACCCCTTTGTACCAGTCATTTAGTTCAATAGCGCAATGTACTATTAGTAATGTAATTATGTTGTAAGCACTTACATTTATCATTTACATCTAACGGTTACTTTCTAATATTCCTTAAGGTATTGAAGTTATTGTAAGTCAATTAAACTTCTGCTGCAAGATAATGGAATTATTCACTCTAATTGTAAGATATTCGCCACTGTATCACAATTAACTATTCTATTATTGTAATTAATGGTTAATGTTATTTTTAATTTGTTAAGCGACGTTAGTGTAGTTTAAAATAAATTTATCAAGTAAACCATTTGTATTATTGCTCTAAGTTATGGAATTGAATTGAATTTCTGTTATAACTTGATTTTATTAAATATTTATTTTAATCAATTAGATATATTTTTAACATATTTATGAAGTTAAAGTACACTTATTGAACTATTATTGTAAGATAATGTAGTTATAAAGAAGAAATAATTCTTACTGTAGTTTTAATTAATTTCTTGACAGACTATGCTTGATATTTTCTGTCAATCTATAATCAATCAATCAATCAATCA